ATCAGCCAGAATCAAATTAGGTGGTATTTCGACAATTTTTGGATTAAAAGTAACCGAAGGGATGTTTCCAGTGATTTTGTCCATTATGAAACAGGATAAAGTTGTTTTGAATGCATATATTCTTGATTAAATTTTAATACATGCTCTCTTGTCTAAGATTGATGAAGATTGATTTGTTTCCATTACGCTAACTTTGCATTTATTAATTTCGATATTTAGTAGATCGAGATACATCATTATTCGTAGTCATAGAGGAATTTTGAATTTCAACTATTTCGTTGGGTGTGTTTTCAGTTGGTATCGACGAAAACCGATTTTCATTTGTGAAATGCAATAAAGTATTGTGCATATTAGCACATTTGCGGCATTTACTTGCCTTACATTGTTTTACAGTGTGACCCTTTCTTAGGCAATTCACACAAAGGCGTAATCGCTTCAATTCATCGAACCTTGCACCGGCGTCTAAATCGATAAATTTTGAACAATTGTAATACGCATGACCTTGATCATAAATGACACATTTTGTTGTGTTCGTTGCGACAAGAGATTCCACCGATTTAGTGTAAGTTTTTTCCGAAGTTTTCTCATTATGTATAGTTTCCAAAAGACAACATTTCTCAGAAAACCTGAAAACGACTGTAATGTGGGTAATTCAGATTTAGTATTTTTCATTTCCCAATCCCTTCTTGTAATAGGGTCGAGTTTTATTGCAATTAAATGAATAATAATTGTATCCCACTGCTCCGTTGGCAATCCGAGGCTATTCAAAGCGAGCAAATGCAGCAACATTCCATCTAATAATTGTCGCAAAATCGTACACGATTCTTTCTGCACTGATGGTAGATTGAAAAGAGCTTTAATGTGATTTGAGACCAATCATGATTTATTTTCATATCTTTCGATCAAACAAGTCCATGCAGTATCATAATTAGTATCGAATATTTCAAGAGATTTAATAATATTTGCAGCATCCCCTTTCAGTAAAAGTCTGAAATAGTGAAATTTTTGAACTTTCGAAATAGACGTATTTTCGTGAATAACCGACTTGAACGTGTCTTTAAAAAAGAGCCAATCATTGTATGAGCCATCAAAGGTCGGTAAATTCACTACAGGTAGTGTAATGTTCACATCTGGGACGTTTAGTTGAGGTGTCACTGACCTGGATGAGGTTATGTCAGTTTGTGCCTTTGAGATAATGTACTTTCGAACATCACTTGTAATTTCATAATACATATCTTCAAACAATAATGATTCTTGTTGCACCGCATTCAAACCCTCTTGAGCATCATCTAATAATGAAAGTTCTAACTCATTCTGAATAGTATTAATGAAGAGTCTGCTTTGTTGAGCCTTTGCTCTAGTTGAACTGTATCGGAACTTTGCTCATCCCGTATTGTATTAAGATATGTTTCAAATCGAAGTAACTGCCACTTAATCATTCCCCTTTCCTCCTTCAAAGTGGCTGCCATAATGAAAATCAGTAGTACATGTAAATAAAATACTTTCGAAAATAATTGAATTCAGAGAATTGTATTTGCTAATATTATGCAAAGTCACAAGTATGTATGTTTTTCAAGTATTTTATTTAGTTTCACGAAAAACGAATTGTCGGTATTATGCAGAGTTTCAGACCCCCTAATCAACACTCATTGAAGAAAGGATAGTATAAGGATTAGTATATGATAAAAAGGAACGAACACACCTGTATGTTTCCTAGGATTCCATTTTCGGCCGGCAACCGGGAACAGAAAACAGCATGGAGGCAGATTTCACAAGAATATTCACGAATCAAACATATTTTTATGAAACTGATACATTCGGCTTAGAAGGACCATGTTTTGTTTATGGATTTCATACCATAATTATGTTCTTTTTCAACAAAAATGCAATATATTGAAAATAATGTAATGAAACATATTACATGTTTCCATCTAGACAACTCAAGTAATAGTGATTTGAGATAACAAAATAACTATCTGCCTACAGGTACAAAACCCTTCTTGTTTTTAAAACTCGGGTACTTGGCAAGGGCAGTGACGATCGAGTTCTTAGAATTTATTAGTCGGGTGCCACTAGACAACTCGATAGTCCCATGAATATAGGCACATTTGACGTAACACAACCTGCCATGCTGGCATACCATCTCCATCTCTCTTTGCCTCGATTACGTCACACGTGTCTCTCGCTCTTACACACACATACACATCTTTATATGAAATATTAATTCGTTCCCAAATCTAAGTATATTTTTCTATCTTCAACATGATAATGATGATTACAATTTCCCTAACATTCTACGGAAATCAATAAAATGCGGTCAAGTATATAAAATGAGTCAATTTCGGTCCCGACAAAACTAAGTCTATAAATACCCAACATTCGCAGTTACTTTCAATATCTTACGTTGGTGTAGAGGCTAAGGACAATGTCTACCATGCGGACGTCATGAGTGCGATTCTCATAACTATAAACAATTTTTAATTAGGATCACGTGACAAGGGGGCCTGAGCGGTGATGCGGAGTACCAAAGGGGCCGAGGGGGCTAATAGGTGAGGTGGAGTACTAAGGAGGCCGAGGGGCGAAGTTCCACACTTAAATCGCTACGATACTCATTCCATCCTGTGTCGATGACGTCACACGTTTCCCCCACTCCTGTTTGAACCAAAACTTGCAAAAAGTTCAGCTCCATAAAAATTTACATGGGGTTTTGTGCTCGTTCCCGCCTTGTTCATCTACTGCGGTGCAGCCAAGTGTGAAGATGGGCAACACTTGTTTACCTAAAGCAGGAGAGAGTGGAACTGATGAATAATTTACATTACATTCACACACAATAAATTACTCAAAAGTGTATTGTGGCAGTTTCATATTGTTTTATTCGATTGCAGAACGAGTGCACAAACGACAATTTTGCGAGTAAATGAATGAATGGATGATAAATAACTCATCTTTTTAGTTCAATACCTGTTTTTCGGATGAGTGTTTATTTTTTGAACGCCTGACAAAAACCCATATTTAGTTCCCGAAGCTCAAACAAAAAATCCTGGAGAGCGGAACATGAGAGCTACTATGTTGTTATTTTTTTTCTTCTAGGAATACTTTCAGAAGAAATTTTCTTGAAATTATTACAAGATATCGTCAATTTCGTAATGGAAAACACAAAGTTGAAAGAGTAGGAAGCATTTGACATTGAAAGGTTGAATCTCATACCGCTGAGAAGATGAAAGTGACAAAAATGATCAATCAGATTGATGTTTTGTTCTTATTCGCCTACATTATAAGCGTTTAATGTTAATTTACTCGAATAAAATAATTTCCCATTTTCAGATTTTGTGAACTATAGAACCCCACAAAATCTACAACAATCACAACAAGTACAGCCTATATACCACCACAGTAAGTTACAAGAAAATTCCGTTCAGAATCAGGAAACACCATCTAAGCAAACTGAAATAATGAAATCACCTTCTTTTGATACACGCCAAGGTTTCGAACCGTCAAAGTCAGTTGGAATATCAAAGCTATTCCAAACTGCAAAACCTACCGTGACATTCCAGTACCCTTATGATTTGGAGCACTTCGAAACTGTCGATGCTGCAGACTCTACTAAATTTGAACAAACATTCAAGTTGACACCAACATTTGAGAAACCAGAAAAACATGGCTATGAAGATGAAATCTACAAGGCAGCTTCAATAACTTATGATAAATTCTACAGTCCAATTCTTGAAAAGGTGGATAAAATTTTAAACGAGCTCGAGTTCTTCGAAGAACCCTGCCGAGAGAGGTTGATTTGCAGCATGTATAAGTATCCAGACAAATTTAGTCCCCACAGCAATTTGATATCAGCAGAACTCAGTAGGTGAGTAAAATAATATATCAGTATCACAAGAGTGCTCGTTATCAATTGATGTGTAAGTTTTCTATCGTATTAATTGCATTATGCAGTCATTCTCATCTACGAAAGTAGATGATAAACGAGAGTTCAGTAACTCCAAACTGATTAGTTTGTTATTCTTATATGCCAAAAATTATAGAGAGAAGTAGTGTTGATACCCTAAACCTTTTCTGATAGAAGATGAAGTGATATCATCCAATATATACGTGGCTTATCAACAAAATTCAATACTGGTCCCACGCGGCATCACCCGATAAGATACAATTACACTTTCTTATTTATCTGAACATCTCGCCCATCAATAGGGGTGTACAATCTAAGTATCAAAAATCGTATCAAGTTTTCAAATGCAAATTATTGATGAATGAGAATAATGAATTGCGTAGCCAAAGATTTTCAAATTAATCAAAAATGAACTTCTTGCCAGTCCCAACATTCCTAGATTATTCCGGGCAAAAATTTCACAAATTATACAAGTAGATGGTTCGATAACTGCGACAGCGCTGAAAAAAATGTGCTTGCTGAATAGTTTGCATTTTACAAACTCCACTGTTTAAGAACTCTTTCATCTGGAGAACTGCGTTTATGTGGAATAAAATTCCTTAGATTCCTGTAGCACTTGTGTTTTGTCCTTCAAAATAATTATGAATTGTCGGACGTTTCCAGGTTTATTAGCTGAGCTCTGCATCTTTTTATACCAGACGTTTCGTCTGTTCCTACAGCAGACATTATCAAAGGCGATGCGGTAACGATCGAAGCAATCTACCTTACTGCGATGTTCAATCTTTATCGATCATCATTTTGGTTTCCAGAAGCGAATATCAGCAGATGACCTTCTTGTATATAATGATAATAATTCGTCTTTATTATCTCCAAGAGTAAATCAAGAAGGCGAATTTCAGTTTATATTCATCTAAAGGCAATAAAAATCACCTGTTCTGCCACTCAACCTAGTTCTTCCACTTAACCTCTAGAATCACGAAATAAGGAGAGTTTGATATTTTTGCAACCTTCAACCTTGTCTGGTATTAGGTTCAACTAATGACACTTTTTTGTGGTTTGTTTGATCGTCTTTGTTCATGGCTCCTCGACTTTCCTGAAAAAAACCTTCCTTATAAGTAGCCATCGATAGTTTTCTTTCAGGTATCTTCATAGCCAAAGCTACTGTCCACCAGACATTCACATTCACTTCAACTCTCGACAAAAAGGTTGAATCCTTCAACATTGTCCGGTATTTGGTTTAACTAATGAAACTTATATGTTAAGGTCATTCATTCAAATCTAATTTATTGGATTTTTTATATATTTCGATTGTGCTTGTCATCCAGAATATAATGGCTAAAACTCCGAAACGATAGAACTTAACGCTATCAAAATACACGATTTCAAATCTGCGAGTTTATCGAAAACTATTGTGACGCCACAAGATATTTGCAAGTGTCGGGTCAACGTCTGTACTATTATGCAGCAACGCAACTGATGTTTGGAATTAAATTGAAGGTATGATGGGTTCGGAAATGTTTCATCTGGACAGGCACACCTAATTTATCACAGATGGACTCATTCATGGTTATGCTATATTTCAATAAGTATGAGGACTGATTGCTTCATGAAAATTAACTTTTGAAAGCGTTCCTTAAGTCCGATATTGGAATTATTTTTTGCAACAATGAAACATTAAATTGAAACAATAAGTATGAATTCATTAATTTTACTTTCACCTTTTTACTATTACTTTGATATAAATGTGATATATTCACTTCAAAATGATTCTCGCAATTAAATATTTATTTTAACGGCTCCTTTCTTGGAATAGACATTTTCAAACCTTAAAGAACTTTTTTATTATTGGTATTACTTACAAATTGTGTGATACATTTCGGGTTGAATTAGAATACTAATGTTCATTTCAAGGCATTTTTATTATCCATACATCCACAAAATTGGCAGGTGAATACAAACAATCACGGATCAAGTGAAGTTTCACTCAATAACCAGAAAGGTTAGGAAACTAACCTTTCTGGTTAGTGAGTCCCAGTCGACTCCCCATTTCGTATATCTGGTGACGTCACGTGAATCACTTCTTTGAGATTGGTTTGTGAAGCATTGGATTCAATCAGAGAATTATTTTCGCTGATTTTTTTCAAAATACATGCAGATTTCATTGTCGGACTAGAAAAAATATTAAAAAGACCCTTGTAACAAATCCATTTTACCCATCCTTGGGCAGATCCTGCCGTGCCCTAGCAGGTGGCTGCCACTTCCAAAAAACCAGACATGAGGATCCATCGAAGGACAGTTAGTTAGTTACAGTTGACACACTTACGGCCTACGAATTGTCTCCGCGTTGTGAAATAATTTCAACGTATTGTTGTGTTATTATAAACCGAAAATCCATTTTATTAAATATCTTCATTCCTCAATGTTTCTGTGAACTTTCTATAAATACCCTTTTATAGTGGCGCTCCAACAAGTGGCCAGAATATTTGAAAAAGTTGTAAGATTCTTAATGGATTTTTTACCGGTTTTATTTCGTGGCGTGTAACAAATACATAATTGTTTCTTTGTTCCCGGTTTCACCGATTGATGGACATCAAACAATGTGAAACGACCAACGTGCTCGTCGTTGCTTCTGGATTTCAATTCTAAGAACGTGTCACGAGAGGCAGCACTAGTAGTAGGGACAAACAATAAACTATTCACATGTAAAACAGTGTTATTTACGTAATATAGAGTGTATTCAACAGTATGTATGTATGTGTATGCTCTAAACATGAAATGAATAGTAAATTTTTCATAATTAATTACCATTGATTAGAATGAGATACAACCTCAATCGTTTATTGAATAATATTCATTATATTTAATCAAATTTATTTCATTACCATCTATATTTGATTTATATTCTGAAATTCATAATTATTTTAAATGTCTTTTATTACAGTTTGAATCTTCCTCTGCTCGTTTACTAGAGTCTGTTTTCTAACCTGTCTATCAATTCACTTTTTTTCCAGTTACTTTAAAATAACGGCATGCAAGCCAACGTTTTAATGTTATAACATTATTATCCTTTACAGTTGCAAATTTTAGTTTTGCTCCAGGAACATTTTTTTCTGTTAAAAACATTATTTTTTAATTGTACTTCACCATATGTTCAAATGAGGATAAGGCAGTGTTTGTCCCTACCGAGCTACTAGCGCTGCTAGTGAGTGAGTTTTCGTACTTCAGGAAAAAAGTTCCTTCTGGACTTCCAAGCGAATATAGAGATGCAATAAGCTGGAATTTGGTACAGTATCGTAGCGGCAAAACTGTAAGTACGCTTCATACTTTCGACTCGCTGAACTTTGTAAAAACCAAGTACAATCACGGATCAACAGGGTGGTCACCCGTATTTTTTACGTTCGTGTGAACAATTTAGTGCAGTTGAACGTCAGGAACGTACTCAAAAACGAAATACTATGGCAAACGTAGTTTTGACTAACGAACAATTCGCGGAACTCATGTCGCGAATATTACTGGCAGGTAATACTACACAGGGTGTTACTACTGGCGGCCATTTTTCGAAGTGATTATCACATTTTGACGGTTCTAAAGACTCTGACGTGAATGCTTTCATTGATGCCGTTAGTATATATAAAGATTGTGTTCAAGTATCCGACGCAAATGCTCTCAAAGGACTTCCGATGTTGTTCGATGGGTTCGCCCCAAAGTGGTATCAAGGCGTACAGACTACAGTACAAACATGGAACGATGCACTAGCTCTATTGAAAACCACATTTGGTCCACAAAAACCATCATATAGAGTCTATCATGAACTATTCGCAACCGAGCAAGACCTAAAAACTCCTACAGACATTTTTATTTGTAAACTGTGTTCAATACTAGCACAGCTTCCTTCTGGAACTCTTACAGAGGAGGTTCAATTGGATATGGTTCATGGGTTATTGAATAGTAGAATTAGAAAGAAAGTTCCACGTGATGAAGTAAAAACTTTTAGTGAACTTTTGACAGACTCAAGGTTGATTGGAGAAACTTTCGACCGTACTGACAAACAAGGTCGCGATGAAGGACATTGAAGATACTCAAAGACGCATTCGCTGTCAATACTGTAAAAACATAGGCCACACAAAAGACGAATGTAGGAAACTTTCAAACAGAAATTCTCAGAACAACAGAAAACCTAAAACATCTCCGCGTGAGCAGAATAATACCCGTTATTCGAACACCGCTCGATTTAGTTCATCCAATCCTACATCACATAGTACTTCTCGGAGTAATATCAGTTCCCCATTATCGTGCTATGGATGCGGTATGATAGGATTCATTCGTACTAATTGCCCTTCATGTAATAATATTGAAACGCTCTCAATAGAGTTTTTCAGCATCGACACGCTCATTGCCCCTCGTTTCAGACCAATTATTCATGTAGAAATGTTAGGACATCACGGTCAAGATCTCATAGACACAGCGGCAAAACAGAGTGTTGCTGGTAAGGCCTTATATGATATTTTGAAACGCGAAGACCAATCATTTTCTGAAGAAAATATTTTGGTGAAGTTTGCTGATGGTCAAGGTAAAATGGAGAATGTCTTTGTAACCTGTGTTGACGTGAAGGTCAAAGGCAAAACTATACCTACCAAATTCACCATCTCACCAGATGCGCCTAATAAAACTCTCTTTGGCATAGATTTCATACAGGATGCGAAACTTATCCTAGATGCTCATAATAAGAAGTGGTACTTTTTTGAAAACCAAATGATTCGCTACGAATTGATGTTCGAATCTGCCACCAATTCTTCCGATCTCGCTTCCTACTCGACTTCCGAAAATGAAAGGGCTGATAACCTGCGTCCGGAAGAAGGAACCATGATCACAGATGATCAACGTTCTCGACTCCAATTCTTTCTGAATCAGCACGAGAATATGTTCATCTGGGGGGAGAACCGACTCCCTATGCACAGCAC